GTAAATAGACTCATTTTAGAGAAAACTGTATTACAGACAAACTTCAGTACAGCCAGAACTGAATCTACATTTCTTAGCTTCAAGGCCCAGACTTTTAGTCATTACAAATCTTATAGTATCTTTCTGTTTATAGTAGAATTTGGGGTATGGAAAAAAGACATTAGCATTCTTGTATGAGGTTCAAAAATTAAGAATGGTTCTAGATAATACTCAAGTCAGTATGAACTTAAGAGAATAATTTCAAATCTGTAGTAATCCCTGGCTCATCAGTATTTAAAAGATGGGACTTGGGTCTAGAAGGATCCCAAGTATATGTAAAGTCCAATGTATCTATTGCATTAATTTTTTAAGTCTACCATCAAAACAAGTTTCAAAATGCAGTATTTGAGAAGTATATAATTATTTTACACTACACATGTCTACAAAGTTTTTTTCCATTGTACTTTTTTGCCTTCATATATTCTGATAGGATGGATATAGACATGAGATAACTTCAGTAAAACAAGATGTTGGAGATCTCCTACTCCAGTTATTTAAAAATTATTTGTGCAGCCCTTGAGTTCTTTGGAGATGACTCAAAATCCAAGTGAAGCGTGACTGGAAAAGGGAAGAGGCAGAGTTTCTGCTCCTTCCTTTTACCAAATAGCTCTTCTCTGAACTGTCTTTGTGTATTGATATTGTCCATAAAATTTAACCTTGAAAGGAGAATTCTATCTTTAAATACAATTTTATAAAGACTGACCTAATGGCCTTATGTTGATGAAACATTATTATAGTTAAATGATTGATTTGCACCCATTTATACTACCATGAATTTGAATCTACATTTTTACTCATGTCTAGGGAAACATGTCTTTATAAACATACCTAGTTATGATAAGAATGTGAAAAAAGACTTTAATTTTAAAAACTAACTTCTATACTCATGTAAACAGTTGAATTAATTCCCTCAACTTCTCTAAAAACTAGATTTTATGGACAGATTCTATATTTTTTAGGTAAGGAAAACTCTCTATCAAAAGAATGCAAAACAGAAGAGTGTGGTCTGGTTTTCTATCCTAAGAAAAAGGGGGAGGAAGGCTTATACATAGAAAAAAGGAAATTTTAGCTATGTACTGATCAGTTAAACAAAATGTCATTTAGGTCTGATGGTTATTTATGGTACAAATACCCTAGAAATCTAAAACATTTTTCAAATTTCATAGTTTACATCCCAGCAGATGTTACTTCTGGACCATGCCTTTTCTGGGTGGAATTTCCCAGGGAACGCAACTTGCAAACACAAGGGATTAATTATAGATTCTCTGGGGACTTGCTCTAATATTCTGAACTCTTTACTGAAGAGGCTTCTTACATCTCAGTCTACTGTGGGTTTTGCAAAAAGCTTAGTCTCTGTTTCTACTGAGTTCCCAATATAGTGGAAGGATATTTTGCTTAAAAGTTCATTATAGAAACATTGTTCACCTGACAACCAAAAAAAAAAAAAATTTTTTTTTAGAGTTATATTTTTCCTCTCTTTCAAAGACGACCCAATGGAATAGAGTCCACTCATGAAATCTACAAAAGAAATAGGATTCATAATCTATAAACTAGACAGAGGGCAACTGAGCTACCTATAGAATCAAGAAAGGCATGTAGTTAGTTACCTATAAAAACATGTCTTCTTATCTTCCCTTCTTTACACAAGTCTCAGTTAGTTTTCTGTATCTTGGCTTTCTAAATTTAAGTTCTTTAAGCAGGAAGTGAATTATTACAGATACAGTATCAATATCTTGTCTGTTTCTTATAAAGGACAAATAAGAGTAAAAAATGAAATTTAATCTACAATTAGCAAATAAAATTAATTACCTACTGTAATATATAAGGAGTTGTGTTATTTTAAAAATGAAGTAAGCATGACCCAAATTTTACGTGCTCTAGACAGTTAAATTTGGTGGAATGGTGGAGAAAAACTACATTCTTTCTTTGAAGATAAATATGGGTGGAAAAGCTGTTGACTACAGTGTGATATTTAACCTGAACTTTTCTCTTTTGTATTTGGTGCGTGTCTTATGTAATACGTTTGGTCCTCCTTTGCCTCAGGTGAATAAAACTAATTAGAATTTTGTCATACGCAGCTTAAGGATAGAGTATGATTATAATAACAACACTTCATTATTCGTGGTGTCAGGGCACTGAGTGATAATAAATGAACCCAACTAGTGTCACCTATTTTGCCTATTCTCAGGGAAAAGGTATAAACTTAATAAGAGGGAATCAATCAGTTGAGAATTTGAACAAGTGGACAATTTCAGTTTCTGTCTCTGTCTAGCTCTTTATTCAAAATATTAGCACATGGACGAAGTTCTGTTGGATTAATACTTGTAATTTTGCTTATATGCCATCCAAACTGAGGTTAGATTCAGAACTGTCTAAACATAGAATTCAACAGAATAAATGACTTGATACTTCTGTTTTCTTGTGTATGTGACTTTACAGCTGTGGGGATGTGTACACTATCTCACTTCTGTCTCAAGTTCACAGCAGAGCTAGGTAGTACCCAGGCCTGCCCATTGCTCAGCATATCTGGGCTCAGAGTCCATAGAAGTCATCATAATTAGTTTCAGGTCTAGAGAGGGAGGCATTGGAGAGCATGCACTACTCCCTGGGTTCTCCGGTGATTACTGTCAGAACTCTTTACCCCTTGCAGAAGCTTTTCTCTGTAGTGCATGGAGCTACTTGAATAGAGAAGAATGATTTTGGAAAAAGCCAGATAGATTCACAACTAGGTTGCGGCATAGAATCTGAAGAAGGGCAAATATATGCATATATAGCTATTCTAACAGCCATAGATTTATACTTTTCAATCATGTTGTATCACATTTGTCAGAGTTGCAAATGACATTAATATTGAATGAGTCATTTTGAGTGAAGTTTATGTGGAACATAAAATAACTTTCCTAGAGAGATAACTTAATCTTTGAGTTACATATGTTTTAAATAGATTCATACTATATTCACAAATCTGGAGTATGACACTGGGAGTTTCCTGCTGCATTTTTTTTTTTATGTGCTCATAAGGCTGTGGGTTTCTACAGAGGTTCTCCTAGAGCTTCCTAACAGTGAGAATAGAGAGTGTCAGGTAGGAATAGGAAGACCAAGTTAGGAAACAGAGTCTCTGGGTTCCAACCACTGTTGTGTAATCAGTCATTTTTACATAATGGACTTCATGTAAGAATTGAAAAACTGGTTCAGCTGTGTAAATTAAAAGCTGCTCATCTCATTTTAGCATCTCATTTTACACATGAGGAAATTGAGGTGTAGAGAGATTAAGTGGCTTGCCTATTTTCATTTAGCAAGACAGTGATGAATCAGTCTTTAGTTTAATCTTGTTCCCTAATCTCAGTTGAACCAGTGTGGATTCCTGTATTTTAATTGCTTCAAGTATAACTTGCAGAAAATAGCTGGAGATGGTCTATGACATGGGAATTCAGTAAAGTATTATGTACTTCATAAGCTACCTTAAATCTGATGACCAGTTCACAGCATACAAGCAATTACTATGTTTGCTTAAAAAAATGGTTTTGAGAAAAGTTTCAAGTGCTTTGCATTTATGCATTGCAAAGGAAATTCTATTTGACAATATTCAGTCCTGATTACCAGTATTAAATTACTCGTTCCACTGCATTATGACAGCCATGGACAAAGCCATATGAGGTAGCATGGTACATGATTTCCAAGGACAGAGAAAGCTATTGTTACCACTCCACCCCTGAACAATTAATAAAAATCCAGCCCTACTTGCTCACTAAGACACAAAATTCCACAGGAAAAACAAATCATTTGTTTAGACTCACATGCCTTCCCTTCACATTGGAGAAAAAAACAACTTGAAACCAGTGAACTATTCAATCTTCTTAATCACCAAGACCTTGATGTAGATAAAGTTTATTGCATCCTATGGTTGATACTGGAAAGTATATTATGTATAAGGGAGTCGGCAAGAAAAATCTCAAATGGTAAGGGAACATATATAAATAATAAAACTGCCAAGAAAAAATATTGCAAAATTTCTTTCTACATTTTTGGGGAAAATGTAATTTTTAATTTTCTTAGATCTACAAGTAATATTTTTGAAAAGGTATATGATTATTAAAGTGGAAGTAAATACTAATAAAATCATAAGAGTGGTACATCTGTTGCAATAGAGCTGTGGAGGGAAATCATAACAAACCACAATTATTAATAAACTTACAATGTTGACAACAGTATCCTGACAACTATGTGCCTTTTTTGGCTGTAGCCTTCATTCTGCTGGCATGTATGTTTGTTTTTTCACCATGAGCATTTCAAAGTAGAGAATGATTTTTTTCTAAGCCATAAAGCACATTCTGATTATGTATAAATGACACAACAACCCCATTAATATGTGTTTCCAAATACTGATCAAAATTAATTCTTATTATTACAATAGAATCCACTCAGTGCTCACTTCGGCAGCATATATACAATAGAATCCACTCATTTCACACATTGTATTCTCCCAGTCTTTATATAATGACCACATACTATATGAAGTTACTAAAAATAAAACTGACAAATATATACTAACACAAACTACTTGATTTTAACAGACTTAGCATGAATCAACTGCAAATGACAAAATAAACTATATTGTAGTTGAATAGGTAGGGAAAAAGTTATTTGAGATTAGTAAGAAAACAATGCCTTTGTTGAAACAAAACATCTTCTACATTTTATATTTTCATCAAATTCTTTACACCTGTAGTCTATCCAAAAGTCATTAATAATAAAATAAATAAGACACACTTATTTAAAATAATTCCATGTTTTAAACAGTTTTTAGGAAAAGCAATTCAGGCCTGAACTCAGTATTCATGAAAATTAGACTTTCTTTTAACAGTTGTTATAATTACAATCATATTAGAGTGTCCCAGTATCAATTTTCTGAAAATGTATTATTTTCTATTTACCCATGCTTTTTTTTTTAATTTTAACAGATAGCTTTCAAATGATTAGAAGAATTGATTCTTTCTGAGACTCATCAGTTCATTTCCTGTAAAATTCATGTCTTGCTGTTGATTTGTGAATAAGGTATAGTAAATAAAACATCTGTTCCCATACTTGCTTAGCATTTAAATGGAGAACATATCAGTCAACCCACATTGAGTTTGCAGGAGAACTCCAGAGGGTGTGGAAGGTTGGTGGAGAACCCAGATAAAGAGTGAGGATGCAACTAAGTTGCTGAAACTGAGGGAAGAGAGATGAGAGTGAGAGTTCTCCTTAGGTAAGATTTCAATATGTTAATCATGGGTAGAAAGAAAAAAGGAGGATTTTGAAGAAATTCAAATATGACATTCTTAGTTCTGCCACTGGTAGGCAAATAGGAGCAAGAAAAGGGAGGTGGACCAAGGAAGTCACTTTGGTGAAACAAAAAGAAAAGCATTTGTTTATTTGTAACTGGCAAAATGATCTGTTTCAGTGGGTGTTTTCTTTGTACTTTGATCTTTTTGTACTGATATTTAAGCTTCTGTTTTATGATCTCTTTCTAAAGATAGAACCAGACGTTGTAGAAAACACCTTAATCATATCCAGGAGTTTGCAAGAAACAGGTGCTTAACACGAATTCATCTCCTGAACAAGAAAAATGGGCTGTGATCGGAACTGTGGGCTCATCACTGGGGCTGTCGTTGGTGCCGTCCTGGCTGTGTTAGGAGGTATTCTAATGCCAGTTGGAGACTTGCTCATTGAGAAGACAATTAAAAAGGTACAAGTACTCTAAGGAATACATCTTGTCATTTTGATGCATTCTATCTTCTCTTTTTTGCTTTCTATTTACCTGCTTTATATTTCATGGTAATTGCTAATTTTGTATCTTTGACGTGAAGGTCGTTATGAACCACTGGAATGCTATGATGAGACTATATGTGAAATGTTATAAGCATAATGTATATTAAACATGACTCCATTGTTAAATACAAATATCCAAATTCTGTTAAAAGCTGTCTACAGCTTTTAACAGAATTTGGATGCATGTTAGGTATGCATGTTAATAGAAATAATTGTTTTAAATTATGCCCAAAGAGCATGTTGGCATGCTTTTGAATAGGAAGTAAGTGAGTATATGTTGTAAAAGCACACTTATAAAAGAAGTTGCACTTTAGTTAATACTGAGAAAAGTAAAACTCGGTGTGTGTGTGTGTGTGTGTGTGTGTGTGTGTAATGTATTTCATATTGAAACAGAAATCCTTATTAAACTGTTAGGCAAACTTATTTGATAATATACTGTTTAATAATCCACTATTCTTTATAGTATGTGTAATAATCTCATTAGCTCATAAATATTTCCAATCTATGAAGCTTCACATTTGGACCTTGGAAAATACTTTCAGAAATATGTAGAACATATCTCAGTACATAACAAATTGATTGTAGTGTGAAAACACAGAATGACTGAATAGATGGGCTTTGCACAACAATCTAGAATTCATTTCCCACCCTAGTTTGCTTGAATTAGCTACATACTCACTCATCAGAAACTTTGATTGATAGAGGGAAGAAGAGAATAAGGGTCAGCAGATCCACTGAAGTTCTAAATCAAGGATACCCAATTCAAATGGCTTCAAGAGTTTGGATATAGGGGTTAAACAAAATTTAAGGTGCCGAGAACAACATAAATGGAAGAACAGGGACTACTATGAACTAGAGTGTGTGTTTCCTGCCTGAAGGCATAAATGTTCATTTTATTAAACATAATAGTGGCCAAATAAAACATGAATGCTGCCGTCAACTCTTTACCTGGTTAGGATGGCAGCGACCTATACAAAGGGTCAGTAGCATAGTACACAATGGAAAACATCAGGAATTTAATTTTTATTAAATTTGTATTGCTATATTATTACTACTTTTAATATTTTTTATCCACGGTTGGTTGACTCTGCAGATGTGAAATCCATGAATACAGAGGGCTGACTGTATTGTGTTTATTGCTAACATGTTGCAGTACTTCAGTCACATGCATTTAACTGAAAATATATATATATAAATTAACTAGTATCCCCTGTCTTGGAATTCTTAGTTTTCTTTATAGTATTTTTGATATAGGCCAGTGGAAGCAGACAGGTAACAGTGAGGTGTGGGGCTTAACTAATAGTGACATGGAGTGGCCATTGATCAGACCTCCTTCCTACTCTATAAACTGTGTTCTCACCCAGATCTTATGCAGAGAAAGGACAAGATCAGTGTCTGTGTTAACATACAGACTCTAACATCATTTGGAAAAGTTTTCCAGATTAAAAAAAAATCACAATAATGTTCTAATGCACAGCAATTTAGACATTTTTTTTTTTTGCTGATACATAATTAATGGTCAATAGCTTAGTACTGATCATTTAATTCTTTGTCATGCAACAAAACTAGTATATGTAGATTCTTTTGGATAGCATGTGAGGTGCTAGCGTTTATTTTAAGTTCATTCTTTAATATTTATGCTCATAATCATGAACCATGAGAAAGTAAGTTTTCTGACATCAAAATGTGCTTTTGTATAAGGACTAAGAGAATAACATAAATATTCTCAACTACTTTAAGCTATAACCAGGGGAAGGTATATTATAATAAAAAACAGACCTATGGGACTCTAGAATTGAATTGGAAAAGTAAATGCTATAATACTTTGAAAGAGAAATCTCTGAGTATTCAAGAAACTTCAGGAAAAAGGTAGGACTTGATTCAGATTTTAAAGAAGTGTAGAATTTTAAAAGTCCCAAACAACTGCAGTAACCATATCAAAGGACTGATTTTATGAAACATCCTGTGAAAATGCAACCAAATGCAGTAATGATGGAAGGAGAAGGCAGAGAATATGCCCAGAGTACTGGATTAACAGAAGATTAGAAGGTAATGTGGGGTTGGAGTTAGGAAGCAAGCTTAGAACATCAGGCAGAAAAATAAATTAACTGATAATGTGATACACAATAATAGTCAGTATATGTTTTTCAGTAAGTGTAGGATGTAATAAAACCTGCATGTAGAGATTAAATGGCTAACATTTAGTTGTTACTAAGAGTTTCCTATATAGTAGTTCACTTAATCTTCAAAAACATCTGCGACAGGGTTGCTCTTACCGTACCCATTTTACAGGTGCAAGTCCTTAAATCAACTTGCCAACTCACCCAGCCAATAGGAAAAGAAATCATTCTCCAAACAAGCAATCTGTAGGAAGAGGCTGGATGAAAAACCTAGGCTTGTACAACATTCTACAGCAGAAACGTTGCAAAGTGAAGATACCAGACACAGAAAACCGAACAAAATACTGTGTAGGATATGACCACTTTCAAGGAGAATATAAGATTTCCTTTTAGAAAGATCTTTGCCTAATCTGCACATTATATAACAAAAGGCACATTGGTCTGATGCGGTTGAGTATATAGAAAGAAACCTGATTGATAATAGGATGCAATGGAAGCTTGGAGAGACAGATTAGAGAGAGGAGTAAAAGCATCAAACTCAATATGTCCAGTGAGTTATTGATAGAAGTTATGTATATACCTTAGGAAATGATAGGTGATTTGTTATGAACATCAATCTGTGTTTCACAGGTCAGAGTGCAAATAGATTTGATCATTGCTATAGAGATTGCAAATAAAACTAAACAATAGATTTACTTTTAGAGTATGAATGGAGAGAGGAAAAGCAGAAGAATTACTAGAGAATTTTTATATAATTCAGAGACAAGAAGACAAAAATAGAAAATAATGATTTTTTTTTTTTTTTTTTTTTTTTGAGACAGAGTTTCGCTCTTGTTACCCAGGCTGGAGTGCAATGGCACGATCTCGGCTCACCGCAACCTCCGCCTCCTGGGTTCAAGCAATTCTCCTGCCTCAGCCTCCTGAGTAGCTGGGATTACAGGCACGTGCCACCATGCCCAGCTAATTTTTTTGTATTTTTAGTAGAGACGGGGTTTCACTATGTTGACCGGGATGGTCTCGATCTCTTGACCTTGTGATTCACCCGCCTCGGCCTCCCAAAGTGCTGGGATTACAGGCTTGAGCCACCGCGCCCGGCCTTAGAAAATAATGATCTTATATGAAGAAATAGAAACAAAAGAATACAATGCTAGGAGTTAATAAGAGGCCAGAACTCACGGGAAGAACAGCACCATCACCACAGCACGTCTTTTCTCAAAGTCAATAGCAAGAGCTGCCATGAGTGCAGAAACTACTAAAACACTTTGGAAAAGGGTCGAAATTCTGCCACCATTTACAAAAGATGATTTATCATGTGACAATCATGTCCCATGTTAAAATGTTTAGTGAACGTTGTATAACATTACGCAGGTAGTTGTATGCTAAGCAAGTTAATGCAGGAACAGAAAACCAAATACTGCAGGTTCTCATAAGTAGGAGGTAAATATTGAACACGCGTGGCCATAAAGAAGGGAAGGATAGACACCTGGGGCTAATTGATGCCGGGCCGGGGAGAAGGGAGAGGATTAAAAAACTACCTATCGCGTACTGTGCTTATTACCGCATGATGAAATAATCCATACACCAAACCTCCTTGACACACAATTTACCTGTGTAACAGGTACTATGCTTATTACCTGCATGATGAAATAATCCGTACACCAAACCTTCACGACACACAATTTACCTGTATAACAGACTTGCACAGGTACCTCTGAACCTAAAATAAAAGTTGGAAGAAAAAAATTAAAATTTAAATAAATTTTAATTTAATTTCCCCATGAAACTATAGAACACCAAAAAGGAATTACAGGATTCTTTGTTTCTATTAAAGAACTAATATTAAATATCATCATTCAATTATACCATTATTTCCTTCTCCCATTCTTGAAAACAATGATCTTTCCATAGCTTGTAAGAAATGACTTCAGACAAAATAAATTGAAATAGTGATTCATTAAAATGGCTATACTTAGCTGTGCAAGGTGGCACAGGCCTGTAATCCTACTAGTTTGCGAGGCTGAGACGGGTGGATCACTTGAGCTCCGGAGTTTGAGACCAGCCTGGGCAATATGGCAAACCCCATCTCTATAAAAAATACAAAAAAATTACTTGGGCATGGCGGCACATGCCTGTAGTCCTAGCTTTTGTAGGGCTGAGGCGGAAAGATCACTTAAACCCAGAAGGTTGAGGCTGCAGTGAGCTAAGATCACACCTCTGCACTCTAGCCTGGGTGACAAAGTGAGACCCTGTCTCACACACACACACACACAGACACACACTCACACAAAAATATTTTTAAATTAATAGTCCATATTTTAATTATATAATTTGTTTATATTAACTTCATAATGTATACTTCCAGTATTACCAGATATAATAAAATAATTTGAACTTTTTCATAGTATTTAAAAGCTCAAAAAGAAATGACTGAAATATTAGTTTTTAAAGATGGTAAAGTTTGTTTTATATTTAATAACATGAAAACAAGAAACAACCCAAAATATTTAAATTAAAATAGCAATATAAAAAATGAATTAAACACTATGTATATAGCTGTAATAACAAATGTTACTTAAAGACAATGTTTCAAGAGATAGCAGATAAGCATATATACATTTCTTTCTCTAGTCTAATTTAATATCAACATAGTTTACTTTTCATGCCAAACACAAAATCTTCCATTTTAGATACTTACATAAATTCTTGGAGGCTAATTTCTGGGTTTCAGAAACATATTAAAGCTTACTACTCCAATATATTTCACCAGATGTTATTTTGGGGTTTAGGTGACGATGATGGTCTGAAAGTAAAGCCTTTTTCAGATTCTCAGCACAATTGTCGCTAAAATTCTGATTCATTCTCTTCTCAACTTACACATACTTACACAATGCAGAAACATGAGAATTTATTTAAACATGGGGAAATGATTCTCTTTAGGCCCAGTTACAAGCAAATGGTAGACAGTGAGTGGGTATGATAGAAGCTATTTTTAGTATGCTTCTGGTTTTTAAGGAAGTTTTTACTTGTAAGAGAAATATTAAAATGATTAAATAGCAGAAAAATAATTGTCACAGGATATTACATAAGTTATTGGCACATGACTGGCTTAGTAAATGCTGTGAACCAAGCAATTAAAGCAAAATGGGAAGTAAATGGAATGAGAATTCTTCCTTGAAAGGATGGATAGAATTTGTGAAATACTATTAGCTGATGTTTATTGAATGTCTAGTTTGTGCTAACACAGTTCTAAGTGCTCACATTTATTAATCCCCATAACAACCTATGAGGATAAATATTTAAGCCATATGAAAATGTCAAAATTCAACTTTTTTTTACTTTAAAAAATACAAAGTTTATATGATTCAATCAATATTACTGTTAAAATTTCACAGATAAGGAAACTGAGGTCCAAATAAATTAAATAACCTGCTCAAACTTAAATGATGATGATGATAATTATTAAGTGATCAAACTCATAGTATCTAACTTCACTGTTGGCCGCTACAGTCTGTGCTTTAGGGAAGAAGCCACTATACTTTGTTATGGTGGGGATAAAGTAAGAAAATAACTCATAGATTAAAATCTTCTAAACATACTTCTGTCTCTTGGTAGTACCTTGTAAAGTCCTTGAAAAGTGAAACATGATGTTTTTTACATTGGTACTCTACTCCATGCATAGTAAGATATCAAGGGCATTTTAATAATTAAAGTTGTCAGTCATGTAGATGATTATTGCCGTTGCATGAAACAGTATTCAAGTGAGTATGTGACCACATATAGGATATTACGGTCCCAACAAACATCTGTTTTCAACTTAATGTAGCAGAACAGAAGTTTCAAGGTTAGTGCTTTCAACCCAGCTGTAGACCATGCTACGTGAGAGTTACCAGGCTGAAATCCTCTTGTTATTGGTGCTGGATAGTCAGGGACAAATACTTAGGTACATATTAGCCAAGTGAGAAAACCTTAAATTATATTACTTTTTCTGTGTGTATACTTTTCAGCTTTGTACTTCAAATTTAGTAAAATATTTGCAAAATAGGCTAGACAGTCCAAATCAAATTTAAAATCAAGTTCTTTTAAGTTTACAAAGGACATAACATCTTTTGTGTCTTGTGACATAGTCTTGGTACTCAAGGAGTGGCTACACTCCATATAGTAGTGGCAGCATCAGAAGCATTGTATTTCTACCTTGACTTCCACTTCAATAGAGAAATGAGGTCCTTCCACTTCAATATCTTTCTCTATGTCTCTAAACAAATCCTGGTGTTATGTAAACTATACAAAACTGAAGTGGAAGGACCTGATTTCTCTATCATCTGCTGGTAATTTTGTCACATAACATTGAATCAGATATCTCTTTTCTCTAGGATCCAATTTTCACCTCTAAAGAAAAAAAAACGGTTGGGGTTAGATGGTCCTGATTCTAACAGTTGATAATCCAATGCACTCATTTGAACCCTTTGTGTTTCTCCTTTGCCTTATATGTTGCTGGAGATATCTTTCAATGAAAAAGTGATTTATGGCCTTTAGAAAAAAGGTCTCATACATGTACAATGTCTTTTGTTTAGATGCACACTCATTGTAGAGTTAGGAAGGCATTCAGTTCTGTCAGGCACATTCTGTCGCAGACTCTTCAATTCTATAATACTTTATTGAGTTTCTTAAGAGATATTAGGTTGGTGCAAAAGTCATTTCGAGTTTTGTCATCAAAATTGCAAAGACCGTAATTACTTATACAAATCTAATATGTACCTTAAGAGGCACTCGATAAATAACAGGTTAAGATTTTTGAGCACTAAGGTTCTCATAGTGGAAGGAAATAATTTGTGCGTTTCTGTGTTCTCCTTTCTTTAATCTCTTGAAATGGAGAAATTAACCATTTTCAGCTTCTATTTAGCTTTGAGCTTCAACATCCTTATCAAACATATTTACATTTAGAAGAATATCCATAATACTTTAAGCAATTTTGTCTTACTATTAGGCTTAGTGTGGAAATAAGCCTTTTTGGGAGCAAGTAAGTTTTTCAAGGACAATTTGTTGTAAAAAAAAGTAATAAAGATTCGATCACTCTAGCAGGTCTGATGTACCCATTTATAAGTGGATCACAGCAGCATAGGATTTTGTAATTCCATTTCAACGTGGTGCCCAGTTCTTCTCTAAGGAATTCTGTTTTTCTCTGCATTGAGCAATACAGAAAATATCTTGACGACATAAAACTTAATTTGACTTCTACCAACTAAGCGCAGAGGGTGATAAGAAAAAAAAAAAAAGTAATAGCATGAGGTAAAGGAGGACTCGTCTAAGGGTCAGGTACTGTTTGCCTAGGCTGTCCTTCGGCCAGCCACCTAGCTCTCAGAGCCTCAGTGTGCTCTACTGGAAAATGTGATAATGTTCATTGTCCTTTGCTAATCTGTCATTCTGTGAAGTGATGTTTCCAGGTGAAGGAAACAAATAGGTCAGAATGTTCCTGTGGTCATGGTTCTCTTTAGGTTCATTTTCCATGAAATAGTTGTATTCCTCTTCCTCTAGCACACTCAGGTTAAGTTGGAGCTCTTTAACCTGGGCATTCTTCCCAAAACTTCATTGGAAATACTGTCGGCTTCAAAATCACCTTTGTTTGCACTATGTCCTAGAGCATAATAGACTTCTGGCTCAGAGACTGAAAGCTGGAAGGCAACTGGAAGAATATTTATATTAACTCCCTGATTTTACTAATAGTGAAATTGACCCTGGGGAGGCTTGGTGACTCTCTACCCAGTCTCAAAGCTCCTAAAGCAAGAAGTCAAGTTCCTAATACAGTATTTTAAATTCGCTTACTGGTATATTTTCCACTTGTCTATTTTTAGCAAAAAGGCATCAGTGATTTTTAGTGGATTTCACAAAGGAGTAATAGGATAGCTTCCTTGGCCTTTTTTTTTTTTTCTTTAAAAACTGCAACCTGATAATGATGAGTTAGGCTGTTGTAATTTTTGAAAACGTGTGCTAATGGGTTGTTGCAAATATATAGAAAGTTAGGGGCTGGGTGCAGTGGCTCACACCTGTAATTCCATCCTTTTGGGAGGCCAGGTCAGGTGGATTGCTTCAGCTCAGGAGTTCAAGATCAGCCAATATGGTAAAACCATGTTTCTACTAAAACTACAAAAACTGCTGGGCATGGTGGCACACACCTGTAGTCCCAGCTACTCTGGAGGCTGAGGTGGGAGGGTCACCTGAGTCTGAGAGGTTGAGGCTGCAATGAGCCTAGATTGTACCACTGTACTCCAGTCTGGGTGACAGAGCAAGACTCTGTCTCAAAAAAAAAAAAAAAAAATTAGGGAAGCCAGATTGAGCAGGATATTTAAGATGAGATGTCAAGTTTGTGTTTTTCATATAGATCTTTTTATTTTCTTAACAGTGTTAAGTATCATCTCCTGAAGGGTCCAACTCTTAAAGGAAAAGCTTCCAATACCACTAGCTTTTTCACTCAGTTTTGTGTTTTGTTTCATCGATCTAACTTAGGGGCAGAGAAGTTAATGTTTAACTCAGTAAGAACTTTTTTGAACTTCGGAAAAATTGCTTAATAAATTGTGTTACTGACTGTTGCAATATTTTCAAAGGGTCACTCTAAAGCTTGCCAAAGGGTCGCTCTTAAGTTTGCCTTAAAATCAATAGTCATGTCTTCAGTATTACACCCTGATTCTCTTGGTAAAAGGCTAAAAAGGCTGCTGTAATAACAATTTGCTGAAAACGTTTCTGCTGCAAGTGTATGGCAAGGTTGTAAAGGTTCTCATGAACGAGGTACTCGTGCTTTATCCTTTTATTCTGGCTGACTCAAGGCTATAAACAGTCTCCCAGAGTGCCTGTACGTACTACAAAGACATAACCAAAACTTATTTTCTTTTTCGTAGGAAGTTGTCCTTGAAGAAGGTACAATTGCTTTTAAAAATTGGGTTAAAACAGGCACAGAAGTTTACAGACAGTTTTGGGTCTTTGATGTGCAAAATCCACAGGAAGTGATGATGAACAGCAGCAACATTAAAGTTGAGCAAAAAGGTCCTTATACATACAGGTGAGTGAATCCCCACAAATACGAGGCACTCTTATCTTGAACATGTATTGCTGAGAAGTCTTCTGCTTGACAAATGCCATTGTATTGAAATGTACTTACTATTTTCTTATCAATAATACACCTTAAAATATTTTTCCTATTTGTATAGAATCCTAATCTAAGAATTTAATAAGACATTTTGAATAAATGGGATATTTACATTATCCAAATATTTATTAGCCAGGATATAGGAAAGACATACAGATTTTTATTATAAACTTACCAGTATCAAATAAATTTCCTATGTTTATGAAGTTAGCGTTTTATTATTGTGGCGTGTATTCTCAACAACTTGGAAATATTCCTGCTGAGCAAAAAAATGTTTTCACATCTTAAAAGTTAAAGCATATTTTAACAGCAGTTCTCAGAGTATAGCTGGGCCACAGCAAAGTGCTGGGACAGCTGCATCAGCATAAACAGGGAATTGGGAACATGCAAATTCCCACACCCCACCCCAGACCAAACGAATGAAAGATTCTTGAGTTCAGGCCCACTTCAGAGTTTCACAAACCCTGGGTGATTCAGATACACAATTCCAAGAACCACAGTGCTAAATTCATTTTATCTAACTGCGGTACCTACTGAAGACTTATATTCAAATTAACTTCTAGGTCATAGGGATGTTTACATTGATCTAGTAGTTTCTTATATTTTCTCTAGTGTGGAGACTGAATATTTTATATCTTTCATCTGTCTTCCCTAATTGTTTAACACTTTTGAACAGAATCTTAGAATATTAGAACTAGAGGAAATGATCAGCCAGAATCTGTCATTTTGTGAATGAAACATGCCTGACCCAATGGATGTGAGGTCACTTGTCCCTGTTCACACAGATGTAGGTACTGGTAACTCTTGAATTTTTATATACATTTTCTCCTGTTTTGATTATAGACTCTATGTCTTTTTCACTAAAAAGGGGAACAAAGGGGGTGATTGAGGTGCTAAAAACACCACCTTAACCAAGGATTAGGGATATATTTATGGTATCCTTATGGAAACATAGTTATGTTCTGCTATAGAATTTGTTACCTAAGTGTGTATTTTTCTTTAGGAAGAATCACAACTAGTTGTGCATCATGATTAGTTCTTATCACAAAATTTTATATTTCTAATGATTTCTTTTAATTTGTGGTTTTAGTATCTTACCTGTTTTGGTTATTCAATGATTGTATAATTTTCCTTCCTCTCCAAAGCATTACTATGCTTCCAGATTGAAAACTGACACCCAAAATAAAATGAAATAACAGGCATGGTGAGGGTGGTGCCTACTACCATAGCACGTGACATATAAGTCACAGAGGGCCTTGGTACGTGTCCTGTCTTAGCAGTTTTACCTGAATCTCCTGTCTCCATGCACTTCTGTGACAATCATGATTTTGTCAATGAAGACTGTTTTTGTTGCTATAAAAAAAAATCTTAGAGAATTTTTTTCATGGTCTTAAAGTTTTTATATTATTAGCAAGAGTCTATACATATATCTTGTGAAGAATGTTATTCGGTATACCTAATATATTTTCATAGGTGTATATATATGTGTATATATACATAGGTATATCTACCTCTGAAAATCTAGAATGCATATATGACCTAAGGAGAGTCTCAGCATAATTGTTTAAGAAATAGAACCTAAGTGAACTGAGTAAATGTGAGGAAAGAAAATAATTAGTAGAATTTGAGAACTCATCATTTTTTGTTTTGTGTTTTTATTTGAGGGAGGTCATATTTTTCACTTTTATTTTTGATTTATTTTTTGAGTCAAGGTCTTGCTCTGTCACCCATGCTACAGTGCAATGGTACTATCTCAGCTCACTGAAACCTCAGCCTCCCAGCTCAAGTGATCCTGCTACCTCAGCCCCCCCGAGGAGCTGGGACCACAGGCACATGCCACTATGCCCAGCTAATTTTTATGGGGTTTGTTTCATTTTATTTTTGTTTTTTTTTTTTTGGTAGAGACAAGGTTTCACCATGTTGCCCAGGCTGGCCTCAAACTCTTGGGCTCAAGCAATCCACGTGCCTTGGCCTTGCAAAGTGCCGGGATTACAAGTGTGAGCCACCATGCCCAGCGATATATTACTTGGGATATGAGAGACCATATCATTGAAATAGTTCTCCTCTGGTAGTTGGCAGCTAATATACATTTTATTCTTAGAGCCTTTAACCTATTTCTCTAAGGGACAAAAAGGGGATATGTTAGATATTCTTGATTTGCTTAGAGAGGCAATGGAGGAAAGGTTGGAGAAGAAAAGTTGCATTTACAGCTAAATTTTATAATCCAGAAACAGCTCTTTCTGTGACAATTTTAAAGGGATTCCTGAGTAACTACAGGTTATCTTGTCTCATGATGTCACCAAAACAGTCTTTTATTGTTTGCCTGAATGCCTTAAATAATGGAAAAACAACCAGTACCTTTTAGAAAAAAGTCAATACTTTGACAGTGTTTGTGTTGAGCTAAAACATGCTTTTTCATGGTTAATTATACCCTAAGTCCCTCTGGCATTGGAAGTATGTGAGAATGTCCTCCCTCAAGCAGAACCACAGGCTTTACTTGGCCAATGGCTGCTAAAGGCGGCTTGATGACACTTTGACAAGATACGACCTGAATCAAAGCATGAAATTGCTTGGGTTGAGATTTTACGTATGTTTCTACCTAGATCATTTCTATGAAGATGCTGTAATTCCTTCAGAATATTCTTAGACCCATAATTCATTTTTAAAGTTACTTTGCTTTGGAAAGAATATAAAGAAAGTAACCTTGAGAAAAGTATAAAATAAATTACTTCCCTTGGCCTTACAAACACATTCCAAAACTTCCATACAATCTAACTTTTAAAGAAAAAAATCAGTATTATGTTCCCTTTTTAAAACCACTTTCTAAAGGCAGGGCTCAGTTTTAAGGATTTTTCTTTTAGTGACTGCCATCTACTGGTATAATGTTGTAAGTACACTTTAGGTAACGAATTTGGTTGACAATTATTTTGCTATTTTTTAATGTATGTGCATATTTCTGAAAATTAGAGTACTTTGATTTGAAATATTAGTAATATGCACACTAATTTAAAATACAACTGTCCTGAGTGCTGTTTCAGATTTTGATATTCTTTGTATGTCTGCAGTACTTCAAGAATAGTTTTCATAAAATTATATTAAAAATATATTTCTAGACAACTTTGGATCCTCTTTTTATTTTATTTATTTATTTTTTTTTTTTGAGACGGAGTTTCACTCTTGTTACCCAGGCTGGAGTGCAATGGCGCGATCTCGGCTCACCGCAACCTCCGCCTCCTGGGTTCAGGCAATTCTCCTGCCTCAGCCTCCTGAGTAGCTGGGATTACAGGCACGCGCCACCATGCCCAGCTAATTTTTTGTATTTTTCGTAGAGACGGGGTTTCACAACGTTGACCAGGATGGTCTCGATCTCTTGACCTTGTGATCCACCCACCTCGGCCTCCCAAAGTGCTGGGATTACAGGCTTGAGCCACCGCGCCCGGCGGATCCTCTTTTTAAAGAAGATATATTTACTAAATACATGTCTGACACATGTATTTAGTAAATATATTTATTGAGAACTCATTCTATACCAGGAATGCTTAGAGATACAAATCACTTATAAACCCCTACCCTATAGGAATTTACATTTTTATTGTAATTAAATGAAATGTGTTTTTTAAAAATTCAGTCCAATTTTTTAAGTCTTTACCTTGGCTATCTACTCACTTCACAGACATTCAAATATGACAGTGCAATTATGATGTATATCTAATTTCTTAATACTTATCTTCCAGTTGTGAAATGTATTTTTCCGGTAATAATCACCCTTCACTACATTGATAAAATGTAGTTGGTTCTTTGCAGCCTGGGTATGTTCGAGTCAGGAGATTAGAATTAACAAAAGTATTCGATATACTTGAGTGTTGGGGAGGTTATTCTATAACCCTTAAAAATGGAAATTACAGTCTCTTATTTCTAATTATCATTGACGTACTGAAAAAGATGGAAAAAACAGTGCTGGATAGGCTATATATATATTTTGATAATTCTAATATAAGAAAATATGCTCTAAATTTTCCCCTGCGGAAGCCCCTGTACTTTTTCCTCCTTGCCTTCAGGAGAAATTCTGTCATTTGGGTATTAGATGCAATTCTTTTATGTTTGAGATCTTGCTTATTTCAGTTACTTTATTCCTACTATTCTCCTCACCTCTTACTCTGTAATCCAACCACACTCAAATATCTGCATTTCCCAAAATATATTGTGTTCTTTCCTATGCATGCTACTATCCGCCCTACTTTACCTAACTAAACTTTTATTTGTTACAAAGACCACTTATGTGGACTTAGTTAAGGTGGTACTTTGGGGTTAACCCTCACCCCTACCTTGACCAATCTAAATCTAGATCTGTTTTGTGTTTTCCAATGTGTTGTTTTCGTTATAACAATATTCGTTCTCCCTATTTTAATTTCCAGTTTGACAGTTTAAGACCCCTTCTGATTAGTTTGCTAGAGACCCTGGCTGATTTATCATTTAAACACCATTGCTTACATATATCTGCTATATTCTATATGTACAAAAATTATTTGTTGAATGAATGACATTTGAGATCTTGAACTCCTGACCTCAGGTGATCCACCCACCTTGGCCTCCCAAAGTGCTAGGATTACAGGCGTGAGCCACCGCGCCTGGCCTGAAATTTGAGATCTAATGTTAACATATGACAAATGTTTTGAATTCTGTTTACTTTTGTTTCTTTAGAGTTCGTTATCTAGCCAAGGAAAATGTAACCCAGGACCCCGAGAACAACACAGTCTCTTTCCTGCAGCCCAATGGTGCCATCTTTGAGCCTTCACTATCAGTTGGAACAGAAAACGACAACTTCACGGTTCTCAATCTGGCTGTGGCAGTGAGTAGACAAACAACGTTATTTATTTTAATATACCCTAGTAGTTGCTGTAATTAATCCTATCATTAGAACTATTAGGTTTTACTTATTTTTCCATTGTTAAAAAAATGTATTCCTATATCATTATTTTGAATGGAGGTATACGGTCATTTGGAAAGGGACAGAATCATAAGAATCAAATGCATTAGAAGACCACTTTATTTTTTTTGTTGTTGAAACATTATTTAATTTCAGTTTTATAATAGATTACAGAAAGATGCTTATGAAACAAGTATAACATTCGTTTCATTATGTCTTTAAATGATAGACTTATAAGTATGTAAACAACTATATAATTAAGAAACTTACAAACGCTGCCTGTAAGAAATCAGGCAAATTTTAACATAAGCAATAAACCATTCCAAGCTTTTCAGACAGTCTCTATACCTGCACCAGTGTGAATAAGCTTTAGCCAAACAAAACAAAAACAAACAAAAGCACTTTGCAACTTGCTGCAAAATGGGGAAAGAAAAGAGTATATAAACGTGATGGAATCACAACAGTCACTGTAATTTTAAGAGAAAATGAAGTCAATAAGGTTGATGGTGTGTACTGCTTTGAAAGTCGAATTCAGCTGTTGCTTGGGACTCTGGGCACCGCATCACTGGAAAAACGTAAAACTCCGCAGTCTTCCGCAGGGGTGCCGTCCAAACTCATGGCAAATAGATGGCATTTGGTACTCACCATCCACAACAGGAGAGCGTTTTATGTGTATGAAGTACAATTTCTTCAGCAAACTCCGCAAAAACTGTTAAGGGGCAAAAATGAACTCTGCATTTAAAAGAAAAATAGAAAATGAAAACACAAAATCCTAAAAAGTGTATGAAGGCTCTCCATGAGCACGCTGGTATCAAACCACACATCCACAGCACGTCCTAATCCTATGTGAAACAATCCTTGCTTATCGGAGGTAGACACCTAAATTCAATAGCTTACCAATATCTTCTTGGAAGTAGGCCAAAAGGAAACAGAAAACCCATATTTTTTTTTTAAAAAGTTGATTTTCCCTAAACGTTTCCCCGAAGCTGAATTTGAAGTAGAGGAGGTCAGTGGTCCTCGTCGTTCTCGTTAAAGTCCTCCTTGTCCTCCCTGACCTGGGACACCGGGGTCTCCACCTGGAGCTGCCGTACTGAGGCCTGTTGGAACTGGTGGCCAGCATCCCATCTGCACCTTTGGTCAGGTACCTGGCAGAGAGCCTGGTGCTGTTAGATGTGGACCCTACCGTCATGAGGAACATGCCTGTAACAGTTTCCTGAGCCATTTCTGCCACCTACCGCTCCAGAGCCTTTGGGACCAGACTTCTGGCATTTTTTTTTTTTTTTTTTTTTTTTTTTTTTAAGTTCTGGGACACATGTGCTGAACGTATAGGTTTGTTATATAGGTATACATGTGCCATGGTGGTTTGCTGCACCTATCAACCCATTATCCAGGTTTTAAGCCCCACGTGCATTAATGCATTAGGTATTTTAAAAGACCACTTTAAGTGTATCATTAAAGAAACTGAGCTTAACTTGGAATGTCGTCGTCATGTGGCTGGTACTGAGGCAGGGGAGTAATCATCTAGGAATTAGACAGATTGCACTTTGAGTTTTGGCAGGATTTGGCAGTAATTGTAAAGATAAGCTTTAAAAACTTTTGTATTAAGATCAATATTAGTCTTCAGTCCATGTATTTGTTAAAATCTAATATTGCATTCTTAAATTTTTTTTTTTTTTGTAGGCTGCAGCCCATATCTATCAAAATGCATTTGTTCAAGTGGTACTCAATTCACTTATTAAGAAGTCAAAATCTTCCATGTTCCAAACCAGAAGTTTGAAAGAACTGTTATGGGGCTATAAGGATCCGTTTTTGAGTTTGGTTCCATACCCTGTTAGTACCACAGTTGGTCTATTTTATCCTGTAAGTACCAGATATGAATGACACTATTATAATATTTTAATTCAATTAATTCAATGGCATTGGCAAGGCATCATTTTATAATTTAGCTCATTAGTCTTATTGCTGATCTGGAGATATATATCCTACCTTTTAAAAAAGTTCCCTTCTCATGATAGCTTCAGCTTTCCTGGTTGGGAAATTTATCTGAATTTCACCATTAAATTTAAATCTGAAAAAACAGATTTAATCAGGTTTCTACTCATTTATAAATACACAGTTTGTTTTAAATTAGCTTGTAAGCTAGTCTGTAAATCTTTGAGCACTGTTTTTGGCTTTTATTGCCCTTTTCACGTAATCAAGTTTAATATCATATTTTTGTTTTAAATATACTCATCATTCCTCCTTTTCAGATCCCTTACAAATTTGATTTACACATCTCAGTAGTATTGACAAGTTAACAGACTTCATTTTAATCAGATTGGTAAAAAGGAATTTTTTAGTAGTTCACAATGTCATGAAATGGCAGCTGGAAGATTAAGGAAAATGTGAATTTGATGGTGTATTTCATTACACTGACAAATAGGATGAGCTAACTATTGAAATGGAAGTTTGACTATAATTTCATTTGGCACTACATGTGAATATTATGTTCACTGTTACTGTTTTACTTTTAGATACTGTTAGGATTACAAGGTTACATATCAAATATGAATGTATAAAGTCACAATGAATCAAAGGCATTCTCATTTTAATTCAATACTCATAGCTCTTTGGCTAATGCTTTAAATTTTGGATGCTAATTTTATCATTTTAGTGACCACTTATTAATGATCATAACATTTAGAAAACCTGTAGAAATCATTGTTCTTACAGGTTTCTTCAACGTCCCTCACCTCAACACAGTCAGAATAGTGATCCAAATGCACTTATTGGCTTAATTATGACAAAGAGTGCTAAAGTTCACATTTTGTCAGCTTCTGATATGTATCTTCTTTGTCTCACCATCTAGTGCTTATTTCTAGGAGCCTCACAAAAAATGTCTAAGGCCAGTTAAAAACTGTATTGCAGATATATTTCAAGTCATGAGTCACCAGTGATTGAGAAATGTGAAAGTGAGTTATGTATTTTATAACTTTGACAATGACTTGTTCTGTAAGTTTTTCCCATACGTATCTTTTCAGTACAACAATACTGCGGATGGAGTTTACAAAGTTTTCAATGGAAAAGATGACATAAGCAAAGTTGCCATAATTGACACTTATAAAGGTAAAAGGTAAGTATTCAGGTAAAACGTGCATGTGTGTTACTAGGGTACTCTTAAGCAGGAATGGTATTCATTTAACACCTTATAAGACAGAGACATGAACCTATAGAACAGACCTAGTTATATTTCAGCTCTGGACACTCCTGTTCTACTAGGTATTAACCCTTTAGTTGTGGCAACTGGTGCGTTCACACCAGTGCATAGCTGCGGACTATCAGCTCTACTTTATGGTTTAGTTTACCTTTCTGCACAGGTTATTTTACATAAAGAAAACTCCACAGGGACTATTTTTTCATCTCTGCTACATATCCAGCATTACAGTACAATTATTCTTACAATTAGATAACCATAAATGAAAAGGGGGGAAAAAAAACCCAACACATTAACTGATTGCCTAGTAGGTAGAAACTTTTTTCGTTTTTAAATTGAGCAGATCACATTTTAGACTCCAATGGCATGACCTAAATAGCTACCAAGATGGAAGCTAAATGAATCCAAGCAAGTGCTTTCATGACATTCCCCCTACAGTCTTTAGTTTTCCATATTAATAACTCAACTGTTTTAATGTTTATCAATGCAAAACTTGAATGAATATTTCAAGTACAGTTCTACAATGTACATACAAAATGTGAAAATAAAGAATATGCCACTTTTGAAATGGTAAAATAACAAATCACCTTCATAAGCCAGCCTATTCATCTAAAGGATTTATAATTTGTCACATGTTTAAACTGGGAAGAACCATAATAAATATCAAGGGAGCAAGCTTTCTTCTGCCTAAAGTTAACAACAGTGTTTTAGACCAGTTATTTCTGAAAAAGAATAAGGTGATCAAAACTGAAAGAGATGAAATGTTTTTATTAATATAAGTAACTCCTACCTCAAACAGTCTATTAATTACATTTAACAGCTAAATATTAGTAGTAGAGTACTTTAGAAGAAAAAGTAAAAGAAAAAGAAAAAGAGTCCACATTACATATTTCTACAGAAAAATCGGGGAAAAAAACAAGTATTCATTTAAGAGGAAATCATAGCGATTTTTTATATTGAGGAATAACAAGCATTTCTCTCTATTAATATTACAGAGGGATGTGGAGGGGAGTTGCTAAGCACTCCTAATTAGAGTAAGAATTTCATGTTACTTTGAGATTATGATAAGGTTGATTTAACTCATCATGGCAAGACTGATTGCGATTCACCACTTACTTTGTTTAAAAAGTAAGCAATGGCTTATCTTGATATGTTACTGTTTGTTAGGCGTGGAAAATAAGTTTCTCCATCACCAGAAAGTGGTTGAGAATGCAGGGAAACTATATTGTTTTCATCACTTTCAGATAAATATAGCTTATTTATATGCCAAAGTATAAATTAATAAACTCTTTGCTACTTTAATGCAAGTCCATGTGAGAATTAAATGGGGGAAGGGGCAGGAATATAAATTAACCATCTGTATGTTTTGAATGTTTGCTGATCCAAACACCTGCTGCTTTCTTCCCCACTTCTGCTTGCCCTACACTGAGCTTACATCAGTTACCCACTTAACACTTTCTTTCTATTCATTCTGAGCACTTATATTACTGAGTAATTCATATATTCCACTGGAAAAAAATTCTCCCCTACGTAGAAATCTAAGTTTCTGATAAATGTTTTCAATTTTTTTCTTATTCCAAGATATTTCTAATTAACACTTTGCAGTTTTTATTTCATGATCTGGCCACCTAATGGCATCAGGTACTTTGTAATAGGATAAAAGGTTCAAACATAACATTAAAAGAATTAGAAAATTTCTTAAACTTAGTACTTGTCACATGTGAATGTATCATATTAACAGAAGTACTGAATTATAATAGAAAAAGTAATATAAGAAAGGTGTTCTTTAAATGAGAATGTTTACTGTTTTTTTTTTTTTTTTTTTCCCTAAGGAATCTCTCCTATTGGGAAAGTTATTGTGACATGATTAATGGTACAGGTAAGAATATTTGTTCTGTCGTCATCACAGTGAATCCACCCCCCTTTCCCACAAACCCACCATTATGTCGACAGTGTTCTGAAAGTTGAGGGTGTGTGTTTACTTGCCTTTATATCCCCACGACATAATTCAGAGTCACTATTTGTATATAGGCTTAGTCAATGTCTGTTCAATGTGATGGGATTTCTGAAGATTAATCATAAGGAATTAGCCCTTACTGCATGACTCAGAGAAATATTTGTTTTATAAAAACCTTACTTAATTAACTGCCAACCTGGCAACATAAGTAAATGCTGAAAAGAAAAAAAAAAAAAAAGACAAAAACAAAGCAAAAAACACTTAAGTAGTTACCATCCAAATCCGTTATTCTTTTAATTCTAACTTATCTGTACACCATTTATAAAAGAAAACTAATTGCAAAAGAAAAAACGTATCTAAGCATGGGCTACTAGCTGAGGTAGCAAAGTTGCAAGACAGAAACATCTACTTTTTGATAAGTTGGTCAGAATAAGAGAGAAAACAGTAACAAGGTCAGATGTTTACCTGACTGTGAAAAATGTATGTAAAAAATGAGCATTCCAAGTTAGAATTGGGAAAAAAAGAACTATAAACTTAGATTTAAGGTATGGTTAGATCAGGCTTATTCTCCTGCAGGAAAAGCAAAGTACAGATATGCCTATTAGACCTTGGAGACCAAGGCATGAGGGTTTGTAGTAGTGATACTCATCTGAGAAGTCCATGGAGGAGTGAACGAATTATTTCTTCATATATCCAATGTTTGCCATGGATCATACCTGTAGCAAAAATTCAGGAAATTAAATAAATGACTTTTCTATACACTTTCAAAGCATTTGAAGTTCCATTTAGTGAGAGAACTTCAGTAAATATTTTTCAAAAACTATTAATCAGCCATCAGGGCAAATGAAAAAAAAAATGACTAAAAATAAGAAACGTGGATGTGGCAGGAGTGCTAAATGAACTTCACTGTAAAGAAAAGTGCCACTCCACTGTTGGGGTGGGGCGTTGTAAAAAACACACACAATGTTAGCGTTAACACTTCATTTTATGCTTATTTTGTACCATTAGATATGTATAGTATGTAGATTTGTTGTTGACTATAGCAGCCTCTAGCCACATGCAACTGTTAAGGACTCAAAATGTGGCTAGTATGATTTGAAATGTGCTGTAAATATAAAATGCACAGTGGATTTTGAGATTTTAAGAATTTAAAATATAATAGTTACATGTTAAAATATTTTGGTTATAATAAATAAAAAACATATATATGTATATATATTTTTTTGAGATGAAATTTCACCCTTCTCAACCAGCCTGGAGTGTAATAGTGAGATCTTGGCTCACTGCAACCACCGCCTCCTGGTTTCAAGTGATTCCCCTGCCTCAACCTCCCAAGTAGCTGGGATTACAGGCACCCACCAACACACCCAGCTAATTTTTTGTATTTTTAGTAGAGATGGCATTTCACCATGATGGCCAGGCTGGTCTCGAACTCCTGACTCAGGTGATCCTCAGCTTTCTAAAGTGCTGGGAGTATAGGCATGAGCCACAGCACCCAATTATTATTATTATTATTATTTGCCTTTTTAAAATGTGGCTACTAGATAAATTACTTAGGTAGATTGAATGATGTTTCTATGAGAGATATCTAGATTTGGAGGAGAGATACCTAGATTTGTTTCTAGAACACATATTACATCTAATCATTTGCCACTCGATTTTTAAACAGATGCAGCCTCGTTTCCACCTTTTGTTGAGAAGAGCCAGGTTTTGCAGTTCTTTTCTTCTGACATTTGCAGGTAAGACAAATACAGAAGTATGTCTGAGTCAGATCTCAGGTAACAAAATGCAGACCAAGAAACTTTTATAATCATTTGAGAAAAATAAGAATAAACACAGCATAGGAAATTCATGTTTAACTCTTGGGAAAATATCCTTTGACGTCCTCCTATTTTTAATACTGCAAATAATTCTCTCTCTTTTTTTTTTGCCATTTCTATCTAAGCGAGAACCATTTTGCCTTTTTAAAACTAAACTAGTAATAACGATCAAGTCTACAAGGGCATGCACAGTCTTTCTAAAGATATACAGAGAAGATGATGCAAACATAATAGAACTGTGTTAATTAACGTGCTCTGCTCCAATTTGTGGGGCCCAGTAGATAACACACAAGCCCTAGAACCTTTCTACCCTTGACCCCAAGCTCTGCCTTTAAAGACTGTATGATAGTGGGTAAGCATTTAACATCTCTGAACATTTTTCTTATCTGTACAATTTAAGACAGCACTATTTATTCTTCTTATATGGGTATCGTGATTAGAAAAAAATGTGTATTGAGCCCTATAAATTTGGTAAATGATGGAAATGTACCGGGTATATATCCAGCATGTATATGCACATACTCCAGTGAGTAGTCTTTCTCTCCAGGATTAATTAAGCTGTGAAAAAAAAAGCAAACATCATTTCATTTAAACTGAGCACAAAAAAGTATTTGAGGGAAGTCCCATCAATATTTACTCTATAGGAAAATTTGCCTGTGAGAAATGACTTTGGTATAAACATGGTGCTTCACAAACAAGAACAGTTACTACTTGGGTATTGAGTTATAGTATGGGTTACAATTTCCCAGTAACTTTATTTTCTAATAAATTAGAAATATTTCTAAGAATGAAACAAGAATTTAAGAGTATATGATGTTTCTAAGTTAAAGCAAGACTTAAGTAAAATGAATCTCCAGAATGCAAGTGCAGGTCCCTGGAATGCAGCTCTTTTTTCTCTGTATTCAGGTCAATCTATGCTATATTTGAATCCGAAATTAATCTGAAAGGAATCCCTGTGTACAGATTTGTTCTTCCATCCAAAGCCTTTGCCTCTCCACTTGAAAACCCAGACAACCATTGTTTCTGCACAGAAAAAATTATCTCAAAAAATTGTACATCGTATGGTGTGCTAGACATCAGCAAATGCAAAGAAGGTGAGTAAATATCCTCAGTAGCACAATCCATATCATAATTTGTGATATTCTTTAAAATGAGACCTTTACCACAATCTCTTTGCAACCAAAATGTAAAATTTAAAGAAATTAGGGCAGAAGAGTGGTGGCAGAAAATTTTCGTGCTGATTTTGTGTTTTGGGAGGGTCCCACTTGTGTTTCAGTGTTGCCAAATTTAGTGAAATCGACATCAGTATTTCCTTGTGGCGGCTTTTAGATTTAGGGTGAAATGAAAATGATTCCCAGAACACTTTGGGCACCCCGTTATCCATCTGTTATTGCTCTAACTTTTTTCACTAGAAAATGGTAAGTAAAGGTAAATGTATTTTCAGTATGTATCTAAAGCAAGAGTTCAACATAAAATTTGGAGTCTAGCTTATCTAGTAAATATTTCTCATACTAATATGAATGTGGAAGAGGAAAGAAAAAACTAGTGTTCAATGAAATAAATTCTTAGTTCATCGACATATTACTGCCCAAAAGCTGAACATGTTGCAGTATTTCAACAGAATTGTACATATTGACAATATCGAAGAAGTATACAGTAGACATTAACTGACATAATACTTCCCTACCTTTATCTCTCCCATCAGTGTTAAAAACCAAATTATTTTTAATTTAAGAAGCTTTATTTTTAATTTAAGAAGCTTTATGTGAAAATGTTTTCTGAATTATATGTGAAATGAAGAAAGTCATTAATTCCAACTGACTCTTAAAACTTGTCTTCAGGGAGACCTGTGTACATTTCACTTCCTCATTTTCTACATTCAAGTCCTGATGTTTCAGAACCTATTGATGGCTTAAACCCAAATGAAGAAGAACATAGGACATACTTGGATATTGAACCTGTAAGAAAACATATTATTGATCTGATTTGGTTGATATTTTTAAAAATACAATTGAAAGAAAAATGATCTTGTCAATAATACTAATACTAATAAATATGATCAATTAGTATTATTGACAAGATCATTTATTGAATGACATTCTTAAAAGTTACTGAAACTTATCAGTGAAAATTACATTCATTTCTTCCAAATACTGCTTAGGAAATAATTCTAATTGGCTTAAAATAATTTTACATAATTTTTTTATGGTTATATGAAGAGTCATTGAATATGTGAGTTTGGGGCAAGGTCTATGTAGAATTGTTACAGCACAACAGTTCTAATCTTTATATTTTCCTTATCAAAAGTTCAATGAAATTCTAGAATTTTAGTAGTCATGTTTTAGTTTAAATAATGACAGTAGTATTATAACTAATGATACATGGATTCTAACTGAATATAAATTTGACCAGGAATTAAATGATCTGGGATCCTATATTTTGTTGTTGATTTCCTTAAAACCACTTCAAGTAAATCACAAATCTAATGAAATCCTTGACATTAGATTGGGCCAGGAAATTGTGTGAATCCGTATAGATGCATGTATAAAAACATAACTATATCTACAGTTGTATATAATATATTCAATAAGTCCAATTAATTTGTAACTTTTAAAAGTTTCAAGTAGTCCCTTGCACCTTAAGTTCTATATTACCTTCTCTCCTGTTGTAAGAAAAATAACTTTTGAACAGTATAGAATAGTATAAAACAAGGTTTTAAAAAGAAATTGGAAATCATTTTAGTTGTTCTGTTTTTAGATAACTGGATTCACTTTACGATTTGCCAAACGACTGCAGGTGAACCTGTTGGTCAAGCCGTCAATAAAAATTGAGTGAGTCTCTCGATACGGTTTGTATTATCTTCTTGTAAGAACATGAGTATATCTACGCAAGTAAATGAAAAGAACATCTGATATCAATTTATCTTTAGCTTAACGTCACCAAATAATCATTATTAAATGTCTTGAGAAATTTCATCTATGCCTTAGAATCGTATATTGTGTTTATTGAAATGGTACTTGAACGGATTTTGGAATGGTTTTTATTTGAGCATTTGATGGCATCTCTCATTTTGTTAGCTGCCCAAATATTTCTATGGCAATAATTGTTAGAATTCATATTTTATTTCCCTGAGTAGAATTTATTGAAAGGGAAAATCCACTTGGGGGAAAAAATCAATGTGATTAGAAGATATAAGAGCAAATGAAGTCTGAGAAACAACTATATTAAAATTTAAATGATTCATTACAGGAACAAAATCAAATTAGCTACAGCAACTAATTTCTGAACATTTAAAACAGTTTGTTATATATAAATATTAGTTTATATGTTCATAATTATTTTCAATGTATATTACAGAGCATTAAAGCGTTTGAAGAGGAACTATATTGTGCCTATTATTTGGCTTAATGAGGTTTGTATTTTAAGCTATTAGTCATTAAAAGAAGAAACTTTGTTTGTATATAAGCTCTTGATATTTAAAAAGAATGTATAATATAAAGCTACATGTATTTCCATTGCCCATATGGATGAGTAAACATTTGAGATAACTTAATTGCACAAAAATATCGTTTGTGTTAGTTTTCAATTTTTATTTTTAAAAAACCTTTCCTATCATTTAAGATTTTCTTTAAAAATGCTATTAAACACTTTTTCTTATTGTATCACTTGTCTTAGGGAAGAGGCACATACATGTAATTCCAGGTAAATCAAGACTCACTGAATATTTAGTTGGCTCTTATTAACACTATCAGTCCAGGTTGTCGTAGTCTATCCTGTTGCCTCACAAGGTATTTTTTGTATCACTGATTAGCTATAAACATAGGAAAAACATTGAATAATACTTTGGAGCAAGTGGAACTGTTGATGACATGCAATTGAAGGGTTGAGTATTTAGCTTTACTAATGTACCCAAATAATGTTGATTATTAACTTGATTACAGACTGGGACCATTGGTAATGAGAAGGCAAACATGTTCAGAAGTCAAGTTACTGGAAAAATAAACCTCCTTGGCCTGATAGAAATGATCTTACTTAGTGTTGGTGTGGTGATGTTTGTTGCTTTCATGATTTCGTATTGTGCATGCAGATCAAAAGCAATAAAATAAGTAAGTATATACCAAAAATATTGCTTCAATAACATTAGCTTATATCTTACTTGTTTTCATTTTATCAAAGAGAAGTTATATATTAGGCCATATCTATTTCTAGACATTCCTAGCCAACGATCATTTTATTTTGAAGTATTTAATGTAAATTAAGACACAAATAAGTAAATAAAATCTATATTAAGCAGATCACTGAAGTCTCTAATTCTGGGAGAAAGGATAAAAGATGTCATTGTGACCATTGTAACAATAGCACAAATGTAGCACTTGTCCAAAATTGACTGGTTCATTTCTCAGTTATATAGCTCATTATTTTTTAAAATCAGATAATTTATAACGGACTAGGAAAAGGTGTCATAAGAACAGGATTGCTGCATGTAGACATGCTGGCCATGCATTTTCCAAATGAACAATGAAAAGACCTGAACTAAAATTTGAATATAATGGTATCAGGAAATAGGAGAGGAGAGAATAGTATTCAACACAGTAAAACCAAGTACTCAGAGTTTAGAGGAAAAGAAAGATAAAACATTTGTGTCAAAACTGTTGTTCAGGGCCGGGCGCGGTGGCTCAAGCCTGTAATCCCAGCACTTTGGGAGGCCGAGGCGGGTGGATCACGAGGTCAAAAGATCGAGACCATCCTGGTCAACATGGTGAAACCCCGTCTCTACTAAAAATACAAAAAATTAGCTGGGCATGGTGGCGCGTGCCTGTAATCCCAGCTACTCAGGAGGCTGAGGCAGGAGAATTGCCTGAACCCGGGAGGCGGAGGTTGCGGTGAGCCGAGATCGCGCCATCGCACTCCAGCCTGGGTAACAAGAAACTCCGTCTCAAAAAACAAACAAACAAACAAAAAAAAAAAAAACAAAAAAAAAACTGTTGTTCACATGTTGAGACACTTTAAGCCTCTATGCTTCAAATATTAGTGTCTATGCCCTCTATACATAAAGTGTAATGAATGCTTCACCTTTCCTAAAGGAAAACCTTTATTTTAGTGTTGATAGTAGCATTGCTACTGGGGAGAAATTGCTACCTGGGGAGAAATTTTTACTTTCTCCAGCCCACCCTTCTCAGACCACAATACCATTTCATGATTTTCCAATAGCCTGGATTCATCAGCATCCATTCTGACTTCAGAGATGATGTTCCATGAAATCAAATTTTAATTGTCTATTACCAAAGCATAAATCAGTTACACTGATGATTTTTTAAAATATAAAGTGGAATTTAGGGACCAATAATTTTGTTTAAGATGACAACCTAATTTTTGGTTCTAATCACTTCTACTACTATTTAGTCACCAAAAAGACAATACTTCTGCCTACAAACTATTTGGACAGAATGTCTTCAAAATTCACATTATAAAAAAATGATATATTACCTTTAATGCCTTTCATTAGCCTACTGACAAATTATGACTAACCAAAGGTATTTATATGACCATGTAATCTTTTCTAACAAAAATCTTGTCCTAATGGGAAAGCATGCTTAATAAAAGGAAATGTAGAAGTTATAAACATGCTTTCTAAGTATTCAGAATTAAAATTATGTGATATATTTTATCACTGCTTAATGATCCCTGCATGTCAGATTCCTTGGGTCCATTTGTAGCTAAATTATAATGAAAAAAATCAAGACTTGCTGTAGCAACTTTGTCAACATATATACTAGTTTTGCTTATACATTTGATTTTTATAAGGAAAAGAAGTTACTGCCTCCTCCCTTTTTTTTTTTACAAGCAGAGAATAGACTGTTGATTACTTGATTTACTAGATTTAGAAGAATCCCAAAAGATGTAGATTTTCTTAAGCAAAATTCAGCTTTTAGTATCATAATTGTATCTTTGGACAGACTTGTGAACAATAGAAACAGGTAGGAAGATAGGTAGGTATTCGAGAGGGAGCAAAGTGTAAGATGGTGGAGTTAATGTGCGGTTTTACTCAGGGGGTTACAAGGAAAATAACCCAATGGTCATTTTTAAAGTACAGCTTTAAATGGAACTTGGTCTGAAGGGTGTGGAAATGCTGGTCTAGGGGAGATGCACTTTAGCTACCATTCCTTGTCTGATATGTGCTAGTCTTGAGGATTAGGAAGCACCCTTCTTATGTGCCTTTCTGGAATGGGAATATGTTTTGCCTTATGGGTGAAGTCCATTAGAAAACACTTCTCATTGCAGCTAGAGAAATCGAACTGATTAATGAAAAGTATGCTATCTATCTTAGATATATAAAATTTAAGCATTATATGTTGTAATATTCCACTGCTTTCTGATAAGTGGGAACATTTCCTCTGCTTTACAGGCAGCAAATGATTCTTCACATTTATGCAACAACTATGTCATGACCTTTGGTAATACCGACCTACAGCATGAAGATTGGATATGCTTTAATTTTACAAAACACACCTTATCTTTTAGTTGAAGAAATGGTGGCACTATTTTTGTTTTTTGCACTAAGCAACAGCACATTTTGAAAGGATTGAGATGCTACGAAAATCTCTACCTGGCACAAAAAAAACCCAGCACCTTTTAAAATTCATCATTTTCACAACTGAATTGATTTCAGTTTCTATAGACCTGGCTCAAGCACCAACCAGTTTCTTTGTATTGTTCCGATTCAATAACTGGTTTCTGGGTGGCCAATTCAGAAGAAGAGTGGACATTCTCAACAAATCCTAGGCCCTGCATTCCTGTCTTCCTCATCCAGGGGAAAACACTGTCACCCTAGTAGCTGCTCTATTCCACTGCAACAGTCTCCAGGCCCATCAGCATATTGCATTTCCTGCGCACCAAATATTTTGAAAGACATTTATAAATAATTGGCTTATGACTCACTAATTAGGTATTTATCTGCGAATTCCTTCATACAGCAACAGCAGGTATCATAACCCTTTTTTTACTTTATAAAAGTATGGTCTTATCTATTTTGTCACTGATCATGCAAATGGACATCATTTTAGTACAGTTTAGCTTTTATATTTTAAAGACTTGGTCATTTTCTGTGTTGTGCGACTCTTCTGGAAATATGAGTAAATTTTTCTTTTTTTTTATTCAGTTGCAACTTACGCTTGGCATCTTCAGAATGCCGTTCTAGCATTGAGATGTAAATGAAGGAATTATTGTATGAAATATTACCAAGAGTAGAAATGCATTGTTATTCATTGTAATATTTGTGGCCATCATAATCACCTCATAAAGACTGGTTTCAACCATTAAAATATGTTTTCCCTTAAATTCCTCTGCTTTTTTTGTTCTTGTTATGTCAGAAAATGTTTATACTAATTTTCTGTTCAAAGTATATTATCTGAATCCACATTTCTTTATAAATCCATAGTTCTTGCTGAAATAAGCTTTCTAAATTTTCACCACTTTTTTTCTAGGCTAATGTTTTATGCTAATTGGATAAAGAAAAAAAAGACATTTGGTTCTATCCTTTACGGCAGTAAGTTCTAAAGGTTTTTCCTGTTTCGTAAGGAGACACATTAATAGGTAACCCTGCTTTCTTTAGCAGAGGTTCACTTATTTCAGAGAGCTTTTCCTAAAAAAAATCCCAGCATAGAAAGGGAAGACAAACCAAATTCTATCTTGTGTTTTACCCACAGAAGGATGCAGGAAAAAGGAGTAGTAACTGGCCTGTTTGGATACTAAAATTGAAAATAACTTAGCCTCCTTATGATAGCTGCCTGGCTAAATGTTTAACATTCCCTATAAAAAAGCCACAAACCAAGATTCTACCTGTTTGAAAAGATCTTTGAATCTCTGAAGGTGCTTAAAACATTTTAATAAGTGCCTTTCCTTTTAATTGGAAGGATAAAAGTATCTGTCCAAGGTATTAATATGTAAGATAACATTGTACCACATGTTCTTCTGATAATACAAGGTTTATTCTATTTTCATGAGGTTATTTGTGGATATGTCCATCTCAGATAAATATAAACAAAAGTTTTTAATTGTAGAGACCCTTAGGGCTGAGTTATATAATGTAGAAATGTCTAAAAATAACTGGATGAGAAAATACATATTGACCTCCTGTATGTTATCACTAATCATGACTCAAACCCTAATATCTTCCTATAGGAATGATCTCATGGCATTTATATATCAGAAAAGATTTTGACCTGTATATCTTTAATATTGTTTGAATGCATGTATATTATAATCTTTATCATTCCTCAGTATTTTATTTCTCATTCTGTAAAAGGAATACAAGAGGAAAGATAATTCATCCACAAAGACAACCAGATTAAAAATATGCTTTAGGGGGCCCAGGCAGGTGGATCACCTGAAGTCAGGAGTATGAGACCAGCCTGACCAACATGGAGAAACCCTGTCTGTACTAAAAATACAAAATTAAATGGGCATGGTGGCACATGCCTGTAACCTCAGCTACTTGGGAGGCTGAGGCAGGAGAATTGCTTGAATCCAGGAGGCAGAGGTTGCGATGAGCCGAGATGGCACCATTGCACTCCAGCCTGGGCAACAAGAGTGAAACTCCATCTCAAAAAAAAATCATGCAGTAGAAAAAATAATTAAAGAAGGGGAGATTTTTTTTTACATGAAATCTGGGGAGTGTGTGTGTGTGTGTGTGTGTGTGTGTGTGTGTGCATGCACAGTGTGGTAGAGGGGCAATGTGGGGAATATATTACACATGTGACTTTTTGTTTTGCCCTGGTGAAGTGAATGTTGTTCAGAAAGATAAATTACTTCCAGTTACTCAAAGATAATTTTATATCTTTTAGTCATAAAAAAGTTGTACCCTTAGAGGCACATTTTCATCCCAAAGTTGGTTATTCCCGACAGAACTATAGTGGTTATTCATAAGTTTGAAAATCAATAGCATCTACAAATGGGTTAACAGATTAGAGAATCAACAGCATCTGAAAATAGGTTAATGCATATTGCTTCTAACAAGTGCATGAAGAAATGGAACAAGCTATGTAGCTTTCAGTTCTGAAAGAAAGCGGTAAAGGCGGGTATGGTTTCAAGAAAAATATATAGCTATGCACATGGTTATAGCTGAAAATATTTGTATTAAGATGTATACATATACACATTTGTTAACCTGTTATCAGTGTCTGAGCTACATAATTATCTTTCTAGTTGGAATTTGTTTTAGGTGTGTACCAATTGACAGTTCAGTTTTTCTGTTTGAAGTCCATCGTATTAGTGACGCTGTAGCTGCTCTCTTTGCCTGCCTCTTGTGGCCTGTCTACAATTCTAAATGGATTTTGAACTCAAATAATGTTGTCCATTCTGGTTTCCTGCATATACCAACAGCATTACCTATGACTGGTTTTTCCAGAGTTATTTTCACTGAGCTGAGCTAATGAACTATAACTGAGTTATGTTTTATATTTGTATCGAATACACAAAGGAAACACTCTGTTTTTCCCTTTTGTGGCTCAAAAATAGCTGCACTTTAAAATATTTGTGAAAATAAATGCTTTTGTTATTAGAAAAATGATTTTGCTTTTTATTTTTACTTTTGAATGTAGTTGACTTTCATATTGTTTGATATTGTTACTATACTTTTATATGAGCTATTCTCTTTACATGACTTATTTACATATCACTCCTATTTCCTTTTTCCAACAATTCCCAGATTCTAGTAATTTAACCTACATATTGTAAAACATTTCATTCTACATACTCATGAAGAGCACTGTGACATAGCTAGGATAAATATAAATAGTTTAAAATTTTGCTTTAATTACGTGAATCTTAGACAAACAGCCTCCACATCACCAGGGAACTTGTTAAAAATGCAGAATGTCTGGTCCTACCTCACACCCACTGAATCAGAATCCACAGTTTAACAGGATCTTTCAGAGATTCACAGACACATGAATTTTGAAAAAGCCCTGATTTAAGTCACTGAAGTTCGACTAGCTTTAAGAGTTTTATTTGACCTGTTGCTGGTATTAGTTTGACGTATTAACAGAAGGATTTAAGTGATTAAATCTACATAAGCGTATTGAGATGAGGGGGAAGTTCATCAGACCTGAAAGTGTTGCTATAAATATCCCACTAAGTTTTAAGTTTGCTCTGTTGAACTGGTAAATGATACTTTCAAACAGTAATAAAGCAAATCTATATGACAGAGTAGAGATGTAGTGCTATTGAATGTGAAACACCTTCGATTTGCTGGGATGTGTTATTTGATCTACTTGACAGTATTAACGACAAATATATTTACTACATGTAAAGTAGGGACTAGGTTAGGAGCAGATCACTGATACGAAACTTGGAGACAGGCCCTAGACTTTAGATGAGATAAAAATTATCCATCTGAATACAGAGATGCTTCAGGATCCAGTAGCTTTCTGTTTTATAAATGCATACTGAATATAATAAGAGCTACAGAGTTTTACTATAAGCAAAAAACTGGGCTAGATTGCTACATGGCCTCCTTGCTGCATGTTTGCCGTGGAGTAGGGAGCAGGGGCAAGGGAGGCAATAAAGAGAAGAAAATTCAAAGAGTATTTAAGATGGAGAAAGTCTATATGATTGTATGAAAGTGAATGAGGAAGGCTGGGCACAGTGTCTCATGCATGTAATCCAGCATGTTGGGAGCCCACGGTGGGAGTATGGCTTGAGGCCAGGAGTTTGTGACCAGCCTGGGCAACATAGCAAGACCCTGTCTCTACCAAAAAATTACAAATTAGCTGCATGTGATGTCATATACCTGTAGTCCCAGCTGCTGGGGAGGCTGAGGTGGGAGGATCCCTGGAGTCCAGGAGTTTAGGGCTGTTGCGATCTATGATCACACTACGAAATTCCACCCTGGGCAACAGGGTAAGACCCTGTCTCTAAAACAGAGTGAATGAGGCTAGTGTGTGAAAACTGAGCTTGGAACTACCTAGGCTTAAAGTGCCAGTTTGGCAGCTGTTGCTCAGCCCTAATTTTGTCTTTATTCTATACAGTTGAGGACTAGGACATTTGTGGACTAGGACATTAATTTTTTTGCTCTTTATAGCTTTATAATCAAAGTTTGGTAAATTCAGTTAACAACATTAAATTCATGTCTTCCAGAAGGCTTCTCAGAGCCTTTACTGCACTATAAATCTCTAAGAGGAAAAGTTAGCGTTCAGTGTTTACTAAAGTTTTACGACCATGGATTCATTTTCCTCAAGAATAATGACTTAGGAAGGCAGGGTACATTTTTAAAAAACCAATCTTGGCTGTTACTATTTTGCTTGATTCTCATAATTTATTTCCTGACTTCTCTTTTTAATCACTGTAAGATAGCCATACATTTATTCAATGCATGAATATAAAGTACCTATGCCAATAAGGAGTACATATAAAATACCCAATATTTGAAATGCTGATGGTGTTCCCTATTCTGTGGCTTTCACTGACATGCTTACCTTGATCATCTGACCATAGTAGTGACTGCATTGTTTTAACTTAGTGTACCACATGATACATTCCCGGACTACACAGATACTATTTGCAAGCACAACACCAAACATTTCTTCAATTGCCTGCTACAATATTCTAACATTCTTCTCTCGCTTTTACATGTCAGATATCTTACTATTTAAACTTCCTTTATATTCAATACTTCATTCTCTGGCAAATTTGTATTCAACATCTTAAAACATTGGTGTTAATCTATCATTATTTACAGGAGTCATCTGTTAATGCCATGAAAACTCTGTTCATAAAAAGAATTTAAGGAGCACTGTTAAGTGTGGCAGAGACAGCAGTGGTCCTTAAACATCTTTTATGGACCTGCCCCCTGCATATTTCAGATGCCTACAATTAAAAGGAGGAATGCAACAAATTCTGGCCAATTTTCTGTAGACAGAAGTTTTAGGCAATGAACCTCAGGAGCGCTGAAGAGCTTTCACAGCTTTGTCAACTGTTGTAGTAACTGACAGTTCAGAAGAGATCACAGCCAGCCATCAGCTTGGCTTCTTGAGTGACTGTGTAGAGGGCAATGCCAGATCACAAATTTGAGACATGAGATATGAAAAGAACGATTTTCTCAAGTTACATTATTGCAAAAAGTGTATTGGTTTTACCATAGTTTAAATAATACAAGATCCTCCCCAAAATGGAAAGGTTTTCAGGTTGTCTTTGGAGCTACCAACAGCCTATGTAAAACCTGTGTTCATAAATTTTGAAACTTTGTAGATCCTGATATTTAAGAATTTAAAATATCCACTAGCAATGTTTACTAAAAGGTATCCTTTAGAACACTAATTTTGGAATATAACATACTTTAT